AACCCTAAACCCTAAACCCTAAACCCTAAACTTTAAACCCTAAACCCTAAACCCTAAACCCTAAACCCTAAGGGTTGTGGGGTCATCATAGCCTTCCGGGAGGGAGGTCGGATGGAGGTCCTCAAGGGAGGGAGGTACGTGGAGAAGCTTTGGGACGTCTTTGGGAGTTAGGGCTGCACCTGCCTTTCTTCTCTAAGAAATATTCAACACACCCTCAGGGAATACCCCTTAAAAGAAATTGAGGGGTATGGTAAAATCCTCCCTTAGACTCCCTTATATTATCCTTCCATATAGGTTAAGGGGTATGGATTTGGGGTATATTCTTAGATCTTCGACACAACCCCTCAATTGCCTTTATGCAATGGGATCTTCCTCTCATGTTTGGCGCCACTCCCTCTTTTAGTCCGTATAGTTTATGACTATTCATCTTAGAAGTACATGTTTGACTGTGGTGATTGTTCTCATTGCGACAGTGATGCTGTCGCTATGACATTTTTTGTGCTGACCAATATTCCAGTGACTTGCCATGTTCCTGTAATGAGCTCGTCCTAATCCCTAACCCTGAACCCCAAAACCCTAAGCTCCATGGGGTGTCGTGTTTAGGGTTTAGGGCAGAGCCCTGAACCCATAGCCCACTAGCCCTAAACCCTAAATCCCTAAGCCCTAAGCCCTAAGCGTTAAAGCCAAGGACTTCGAGCAGCGTTGCCGTTCCGAGATTCTGGGTTGGCTGCAGGGCTACGGGGAAGAAGTTTGCCCAAAGGCCGGGCTTCAGGGTTTTGGGGTTTCGGGCTTCGGGCTTAGGGCTTATCGTGCTTGTAGGGCTTACAGGGCTCAGGGTTTAGCATTTAGGTTTAGGGCTTAGAGTTTGGGGGGGCTGGGGCTTAGTGATGTTTGTAAGTGAGTACACACGCTAATCCCCAAACCTCGAGCCCCATAAACCCCCCTAAACCCTAAACTCTAAACCCTAAACCCTAAACCCTTTTGGGTACCCTAAAATAAGACTGGCCAGCCTTTGAATAGGGACCCCCCAAAAGGACCATATTGTAGAGAAGTGACCCAGCTGAACCCCAAACCCTAAACCCGAAACCCCAAACCCCAAACCCCAAACCCCAAACCCCAAACCCCAAACCCCAAACCCCAAACCCTAAGCCCTAAACCCCAAACCCTAAACCCAAAACCCCAAACCCCAAACCCTAAACCCTAAACCCTAAACCCTAAACCCTAAACCCTAAAACCCTAAACCCTAAACCCCAAACCCTAAACCCCAAACCCTAAACCATAAACCCTAAACCCTAAACCCTAAACCCCAAACCCCAAACCAAAAAACCCAAACCCCAAACCCCAAACCCCAAACCCTAAACCCTAAACCCCAAACCCCAAACCCCAAACCCTAAACCCTAAACCCTAAACCCTAAACCCTAAACCCTAAACTAACCCCAAACCCAAACCCCCAACCCCTAAAACCCCTAAAACCCCAAACCCCAAACCCTAAACCCTTAAACCCTAACCCTAAACCCTAAACCCTAAACCCTAAAAAACCCTAAACCCTAAACCCTAAACCCTAAACCCTAAACCCTAAACCCTAAACCCTAAACCCTAAACCCTAAACCCTAAACCCTAAACCCTAAACCCTCCCTCAAGTAACGAAATCCAGCGGTGTCGCAGGCGCTGGGCATTCAGCACATGACTGTGACCTGGTAGCGCCTCCTCTGAGCTGACGGTTCTTTAGGGTTTAGGGTTTGGGGTTTAGGGTTTAGGGTTAGGAGTTTGGAGCTTAGGAGTTAAGGAGTTCAGGGGTTGCAGGAGTTTGAGGAGTTTTGAGGAGTTCGGGGGTTGCTAGGATGATTTGTGATTTTAAAGAGGAACTTAGGGTGGAGGTGGGCCATGCTTGAGGATTCAAGTTTTTAGGGTAGAACCCTAAAACCTAAACCCCAAACCCCAAACCCCAAACCCCAAACCCCAAACCCTAAACCCTAAACCCTAAACCCTCAACCCTAAACCCTAAACCCCTTTGAGACTCAGGGCTGCTTTTGAGGATTCACAGATCCCACAGGGGCATGCAAACAACCCTAAACCCCACACCTTCAAGCACTCACCTCAAGCTCTTTCTTTACCCGACGGGTTTAGGGTTTAGGGTTTAGGGTTTATGGTTTAGGGTTTAGGGTTTCGGGTTTACCTCGGACCACCGCAAGAAATGTGGGATCGGGGACCCCCCACTTTTCTGAGACGCAACTTCCTGGGATTGCCAGAGCCCTTCTCTTTGGTCTGGGAGTTTTGGGGCCCATTTGGGGGTTTACGAGAAGAGGGACCCCAAATATGGACTCCCAAATAGTAGGATCTCCTTATAAGGACCCCGAGAACGGTACCCCTAGTATCGTAAACCCCCACTTGAGAATTTCTGGCACCCCAGAAAGGAAAAGGGAGAGGGTGTATAAGGTTCTTAGACCCTAAACCCTAAACCCTAAACCCTAAACCCTAAACCCTAAACCCTAAACCCTAAACCCTAAACCCTAAACCCTAAACCCTAAACCCTAAACCCTAAACCCTAAACCCTAAACCCTAAACCCTAAACCCTAAACCCTAACCGCTAAACCCTAAACCCTAAACCCTAAACCCTAAACCCTAAACCCTAAACCCTAAACCCTAAACCCTAAACCCTAAACCCTAAACCCTAAACCCTAAACCCTAAACCCTAAACCCTAAACCCTAAACCCTAAACCCTAAACCCCAAACCCTAAACCCCAAACCCTAAACCCTAAACCCTAAACCCTAAACCCCAAACCCTAAACCCTAAACCCTAAACCCTAAACCCTAAACCCTAAACAACATGGGGCGAGGCTCGGGTCCCTCTGGGGTGGGGCCAAGCATTCGCCCGGATGCACCCAAGTCGACTCGGATGAGGATGTCAACGCGAGTTTAGGGTTTAGGGTTTAGGGTTTAGGGTTTAGGGTTTAGGGTTTAGGGTTTAGGGTTTAGGGCTAGGACACAGTGCAGGCCAGGCCCTTCTTGGCATTCTTTGGTGCTTGGTTGGGTTCCCTTCTAACGCCCCTTCAAACCCAAAAAGGGCACCCTTGTCGTTCCTAGGTTACTCTTGGGTCTACTACGAACCCTACCTATGAACCCTGCAAGCCCTGCAACCCGAACCCTAAGACCCAACAACCGCTAAACCCTGACAAGCCCTAACAAGCCTCTTGACCCTACACACCCTACAAACCCCAACGCCCCCTCTCCACCTTTTGATGGGCTATCAAGGTCGGGCATCCAGATGGCGTGCCCCAGTAAGAACGCTCTTCTAGTTTCCATTTTTTAACTTCCTTAAGTTCCCACTTTTCCAGCCTTAGAGGTGTGCCAGTGACGGTAGAGCCGCTGACGACGGCCATTTCGAATCGAATCCACCGGATCTTTTCCGACCCCGAATTAAGCAGTGGAAGAAGTCCTTGGACAGTGAAAGGTTCCAAGGACTCCTTTGAAGGACGTTTAGAAGGAATCCTTATCAATCTTATCACAACCGCCTGCGCGTGACCACTGCTTGCACACTGGTTGCGATAATTGGCTTTGATACTCAGACATAAACAGTGCGCAGACAATGGTCAGTGGCTCGGCTCGTCGATCTGCATTGCGTTGCGCTCCGAGTGCTCTTGGGACGTACTTGGGTTTTCACAGAACCTTACGCGATCTAGTGGTTTTGCACCGTTTCTGGCATCGTGCAGAGAGAGTGAAACTGGCCGAGTTGAGAAGAAGTGGTGTTTTATTCAGCGGCTCGTGGTGCAGTGCATAGGTTCTTGTTTCGACTGTTTCTGCCTTTCCAAGTCATGCCCCCGTCATAGATGTCCTGAAAAGGACGGAAAGAGCATGTGCATCGACCTGCAGAAGACGAAGGCCGAGGATTGCGAGTATTTTCGCGTTGGTGAGGATCGCAAAGAAAGAAAGCTGCATCCAGACCGGGAGCTGTATCTCATCCGAAAGTCACAATATGACAGCGTGGTCCAGGACAGAATCAATGAATCCATCGACAAAATTCTCAAACAGCGCATCGACAAGGGAGATAAAGGCAAGAAATCAAGGCTGCAGAGCTTGTTTGAGCTGACGGACAGGCAGTCTCTTCGAAAAATGAGAATCGAGGACGTTGATGATATTCGTCGACTGTACCAAGATTTCATGGATGCGCTGGTCTCTGGTAGCGACACCGAAATTGCCTGCAAGCGACGATACGCTGAGTTCCTTCGTGCCCAAGGCATGGAGAAGGAGGCCAACGACATTCTAAAATCGATAGAGACAGTAAGGGGGGAGCACGTAAAGGTGGAGATGTCGAAGACACCCTCCTGCACATGATGGCTAGCGACCAAGAAGGTCGCAAGCATCAGAATGTCAAACTGCTCTGCCAAAAGGGTGAAATGCACAAATATGTGAGGAGTCACAGTCCTAGCAGAACTCATGTAGTTGTCATGCAGCATGTTTGACTCATTGCGGTCTCCATGATTGACACTGGCAGGCCTGTATGACTTTCTGTGGTGTTGCATTCGTGTGGCTGGCAGTCTGCGCATGTTTGAATTTTCATCGGCTCCAAGCTTCTAGGGTAGCTGGTGCATAGGAATCATGTTTTTGTGGGTTAGTTTGGTTCTCTTCTTCGTTGTTGGCGAGCTTACTGACATGCCGCCGCCTCCGAGTTCAGCATGGACAGTGTGTGAATAGAACGAAATCAAAAAAATTACGAAGTAAAAGAAGCGAATTGGTTTTTTATTGTCGTTCTTTTCATTTCCTTTTCTCTTTGTTACAACTTGCGGGCAAACATTTGCGCGCCGTCATAATACCACATTGTAAATCAAACATAAACCACGATAAGATTCATGCTCACCCGTGAACATACAAGGTTAAGACGTAGACAGTGAAACTGTTGTCAAGGTATTGTCATCGAACCATGGAGCCACGGACACATTGTAAGGAATTTCTTTATCAGAATCTCAAGATATGACAATAGAACCATAGAACCCACGGACACCATGAAGGGCATTTGCTTGGCAAGTTATGCAATAGAACGATAAAACCCATAGATTTGTCAAGATATACGACACTTGAAGTGAATATCAACGTCAAAATATTGCAACCGAACCACAATGCCACTTGAAGGGAATTTCTTTATGTCAAAACACCCTAAACCCTAACCCTAAACTCCCAAACCCTGTCTGTTGAAACCCTGCCACCCCCCCAACCCTAACCCCTCTGCACGCTAAGAACCCTGTGAGAAGCCTATACCGCCTTATAAAGACCCTTTGAGACCCTAAACCCTAAACCCTAAACGCTAAACCCTAAACCCTAAACCCTAAGAGGACCCTCTACGGCCCCCCCTCCAGAAAGTAGCTCTGTGAGCCCTTGCAGCTGCAGGTGAGGCTCTCGCGCTCGCTGTTCGCCGCGCAGGTGCTGCCGCGCCTGGGCTCTGCTGAGGGGTTTAGGGGGGTTTAGGGGTTTAGGGGTTGAGGGGTTGAGGGGTTGAGGGGTTGAGGGGTTGAGGGGTTTAGGGGTTTAGGGGTTTAGGGGTTTAGGGGTTTACGGGTTTAGGGGTTTAGGGTTTAGGGTTGAGGGTTTAGGGTTGAGAGGATTAGGCGCAGGGGGTTCTAGAGTCCCTGAAAAGAGAGGGGCTCACGGGGTTTTGGGTTTAGGGTTTAGGGTTTTGAGGGGGGTTTAGGGTTTAGGGTGTAGGGTTGTGTAAACCCAATGTTTCCCCAACACCCCGACCACTACTCCCTAAGGCAGGGGGCGGGGGGCTGAAGGTTTACGTCATGGGAGATTCTGCCTCGGACCTTGAAGGTTGTATCCTTGCGTTTGGGCACCCTTTTCAAAGATCCTCTAAGGGAATAGGGCTGGTTCTTGGTAGGGAATGAGGGAATGATGGCCCTATATATGCCTTTAAGGGATTATATAGGGCCGTCATTCCCTCGTTCCCACTAAGATCCAGGGGGTAGAAGGGCCATGATCGGAGTATAACGAAGGGAACCTTTGAGGGGCACACCCTTAGGGGTCCGCGTATGACTCCCTTGAGCCTCAACCCGAAGCCCTAAACCCCAAAACCCTAAGCCCTAAAACCTAAAACCCTAAACCCTAAAACCCTAAACCCTAAACCCCTTAACCCAAAACCCCTAAACCCCTAAACCCTAAACCCTAAACACCTAAACCCTAAACCCGAAACCCTCAACCCTCTCAACCCTAAACCCTAATTCGCCCAAGGAGGAGCTTTCACCACGTGCGCTCATCGGGGTCCCTCCGCTGCGAGGAAGGCGCCCTCCTCTTCTTCGAGATGCGCCTGGGACCCTTCTTACCTGGGGGGTGTAGCCACCTAGGGGTGGCCTAGGTGGGGTTTGGGGTTTGGGGTTCAGATAGTGCGCGCCACTGCGGCCTGCGGGAACATAAGCCAGCCCCCCCCCCCCCCCCCCCCCCCCCTCCCCCCCCCCTCTCTTGTTCAATGGCCGCCCCCCCCCCCCCCCCCCCTCCCCCCCCCCTCTTGGTCACGGGGGGGGGGGGGCCCCCCCCCCCCCCCCCCTTCCTTGGTCCATAACAGTGTTCTTAATAGGGTTTCACTTGATTTTAATTAACGTTTTAATAGGACTTCTTTTGATTCTAATCGGGTTTTTGTTACTTGTGAAAGATTTCTAATAATATGAATGAGATTTTTATCCCTTCTAATAAGATTTGTATTAGGTTTAACGGGATTCGTATTGAAATAATAGAAATCCTTGTCGAATTAAGTTCAACTCCTATTACAATTGATTGAACTGCTATTAAAAATTAGTAAAGTAAATTCCCTTCAAGGTATGCTTGACAAGGATGTTCCGTCCTTAGTTGGTGTCCGTGGAATCTGTATTTCTGTTTCAATATCTTGACAAGGAAAATTGCTTCAAGGTATTCGTTGGCTGAGGTTCAAGAACAATATCTTGACAGGTGTCCCTGGTGTCTGTGGTTTTTGTTATAAAATTTTGACCAGGAAATTCTCTTTAAGGTGTGCGTGGGCTTTTGGGTCCTGGCAACATCTTGACAAGGAGACTCCCATCAAGTTGTTTGTGGGCTCTGGGGTGTTGCTGCATTTATCTGGCTCGGGAAGTTCATAAATTCCCTTCAACGTGCCCGTGAGAAATGCTACGAAAAAAGAAGGCAAATAGAAATCTTGTTACATTAATAGAAATCCTCTTGAAATTATAAGGATTCCGAATAAAAAGCAATAGGAATCCTACCAAACATGGCAGAGGAAATGTGGAATTGAGCATGGGGGGGGGGGGGGGGCCCCCCCCCCCCTTTCTTTGTAGGGAGGGGGGGGGGGGGGGGAGGGGGAGGGGGGTTTGTTGGGGGAAGGGGGGGGGGGGGGGGGGGAGGGGGGGGGGGTTACCTTGAATATCCGCAGGCCTCTTTTTTACGCACTCTCGTCGTTCAGGGTTTATGTGTTTTGTCAGATTTAGGGGTTTTGGAGGTTCAGGGTTTCGGGTATAAAAGTTTTAGAGGTCGCTTCCGGGTTCTAGGTTCAGAGCTTCTAGGAAAATTTTAGGAGTTTCGGGTTTGGGTTCGGGTTTAGAGGTGCCCCTTGTACACAAACCAAACTACCAGTAGCATAATCCCTTGTTTAAGGACCACCAAAACAGTACCCTAATGTTGGGAAGACCACTGTTTACTACTAATTGCTGAAGAAATCCGTGCCCTGGGAGGAAGGCCCGGGCACGAAAAGTGGACCACGCGGTGCTGCAGCTGCGGAAGCGTTCCCCGGTCCTGTTGCGCGTGCTTTTGGGCAAAGCTTTATATACATATGTATGTGTATATATATATATACATAAGTAAATAAATATATATATATACACACATACACATCTTTTCTTCAACTTTTTTGTATGTTTTTTGGAGGGGGGTGGCTGAGCTGGCGTTAACTATCAACGGCATTGGGGATTTCTGTGTTTGGGGTTTAGGGTTCAGGCTTTTCGAGTTATCAAGGGCTAAACTCCTGGGGGAGGGCAGGGGAGGGGGATTCATAACCATGATTTGTCCTATGCCGAATGGTCGGCACCTTATTTCGTGGCCGTGGCCCGAAAGCCTACCATAGACACTACATCTCATCAACCCTCCATCCTTCGAACCCGTTTAGGGGTTTAGGGGTTTAGGGGTTTAGGGTTTAAGGGTTTAGGGTTTAGGGTTTCCTAGTCCCTAGTATGCATGAGCCTGGAAACCTGTAAACTCTTTCTCTGCAGGCCCTGGCTGGCGGCTCCATTTGCCAATTTTGGGGGTTCATGGTACTTAGTAACCAATTATAACTGTACTTATAACCCAAACTATCACTCTATCAGGGCACTTAAGGGGCTTATAAGTACAGTCATAAGTGCAGTTATCATTGGTTAATAAGTACCATGAACCTTCAAGTACAATTTTAGGGGGGGTTCTGCCCGTGTATTCAGGGGGTTCTGCAACCTGCCATGTGTGGGGCTTGGGAGTCAGGGTCTTTGCTTCCTAGCTAAGGGAGCGATACTGCAACCTGCACGTTGTAGTATATACTTTTTAGGGTTTAGGGTTTAGGGTTTAGGGTTTAGGGTTTAGGGTTACTTGTAAGCTTGTCCCACACCCAGACTGCGCACTTCATGATGCAGACTATCTGTGTTTTTGCATGCTGGAGCAAAGGATCAAGTCCTGCGAGCCTGGTGCCCTCCTTCTGCAAGCTGGCACAACCCGAAGCCCTAAAGCCTAAAGCCCAAAAAAGATGAAAAGCCATAGCGGAAACCCTAAACCCTAAACCCTGAACCCTGAACCCTGAACCCTGAACCCTAAACCCTAAACCCTAATCCCTCCCCCCCCCCCCCCCCCCCCCCCCCCCCCCTGAGCCTCGAAAGCCAGGGCAGGAACTCCTTCGCTTCCGGCCGGCGACGCCCTGCCAGGAGCGGTCCGCTGGGTTTAGGGTTTAGGGTTTAGGGTTTCGGGCTTAGGGTTTAGGGCTTAGGGTTTAGGGCTTAGGGGTTAGGGTTTTAGGGCTTGGGGTTTGGGGTTTAGGGCCAAGTTTAGGGCAACCACTACCAGTGCTATCCCGATATAATCACGATTCTCTGAATTAGGTCCCTTTTCGGGTCCCCATATAGTACGGCAACCTTATAAAAGAGGACCCCCCCCAAAAGCGACCCTAATTCAGAGAACCTACCTCTACTTTAAACTCGAAACTCTAATCTAAACTCTAAACTCTAAACCCTAAAGTGAAAAAGAATGAACCATCCATAGCGCTCGTTCGGGTTGAGGGGAGGCTGTGGGGCTCTGCGAGTATTAGGTCTGGTGTCCTGTCCTTTTTTTCTCGCTTGTTGTTTAGGGCTGTAAGGCTCAGGATTTCAGAGCCCTAAACCCTAAACCCTAAGGCCTCCTAAATTCCCCGCACTGGCAGGTCCAGCTCTTCGCCATCTTGGCCCTCGTGCCCAGCGACGACCAGGGCTATCAGCGCCCCGGCAGCAATTCCTCACCGTAACCCTAAACCCTAAACCCTAAACCCTAAACCCTAAACCCTGAACCCTGAACCCTGAACCCTGAACCCTGAACCCTGAACCCGAAACCCCGAACCCCGAACCCTGAACCCTAAACCCCAAACCCAAACCCTACACCTTGGGTTTAGAGGCTGAAGAGGCATAGGAGTTTAGGGCTTGGGGGTCCTTGGGGGGATGAGGGGTGTTGGGGCTTCAGGGGTCTAGGGTTTAGGGTTTAGGGTATAGGGTTATCGTATGAAGGATTTCAATATAAATTAAGCAATATTCCCCAGTTAGGGGATATGGGGCTCTTGGGGCAGTGTTATACCCTTTTCCCCTTATTTTTTGGTTCAAAGGTAACCAACCCCGAAAAGGGGTACCCTGATTACAAGATCCCCCTAAGCCCTCGAAGCCCCCTAAAGCCTAAACTCCTATGCCCCGAAAGCCTCTAAACCCAGGTTTAGGCGCTAAACCCTGAACCCTAAACCCTAAACCCTGGACCCTAAACCCTAAAGGTTCAGGGTTTCGGCCGCCGCCGACCTTGCTTGGTTCCTTGAAACTCAGAGTCAAAGGGCTTCGGGCTCAGGCTTTAGGGTCCAGGGTTGAGGGAAAGCCTCTACCCGAAACCCCCCAAACCCGAAACCCCAAACCCCGGTTCTAAACCCTAAACCCTAAAGCCTAAACCCTGAACCCTGAACCCTGAACCCTCAACCCTAAACCCTAACCCTTGTGCAGCCCTTCTCGACTGCTGACAAACCCGAAGCCCAAAGAGCCCCCACCAGACCCTAAACCCCAAACACCCGAGGCCTGGACCCAAAACACTAAACCCTAGACCCTAAACCATAAAACCCCCCCCCCCCCAACAAACAAAGGAAACACACACACACACACACACACACACACACAAACAAAAAAAGCAACAACAAAACAACCAAACCCTAAACCCCAAGCCCCAAGCCCTAAGCCCTAAGCCCTAAACCCTAAACCCTAAACCCTAAACCCTAAACCCTAAACCCTAAACCCTAAACCCTAAACCCTAAACCCTAAACCCTAAACCCTAAACCCTAAACCCTAAACCCTACAGAGGCTGCTCCGGGATGCGGCTTGGAAGCATGGAGACGTGGAGATCGCCACGGCTCGGCGCCCAGCTCCCCATGCCTTGGTAGGGGGTCAGAGGGGGTTTAGGGTTTAGGGTTTAGGGTTTAGGGCTTAGGGTTTAGGGTTGAGGGTTGAGGGTTTAGGGCTAGGGTTTAGGGTTGAGGGTAGAGGGTTTAGGGTTTAGGGTTTAGGGTTGAGGGTGTTGAGGTTTTAGGGTTCAGGATTTAGGGCTTAGGGTGTCTCCCCCCTTGGCTTTTGCGGCTTAGGGTTTAGGGCCAGAAAAAGCCGCACAGTCTTAAATGACTTCAATACCCCATTATGAACCCTAAACCCTCAACCCATAGGCCCCAGCGTCTGCGGAGCAAACCGAATCTTCTGAGCCGTAAGAAACTTCACTTGCTGGTTCTGGGTGGGGAGTGAGGGCATGAGGTACACTATATCCCCACCTATACATACCCTTTTCAGGGATATCTGTAAGGTACCAAATTTCCCCTCATTCCCTACGAAGCACCAAAGTTTTAGGCCCCTCAGCCAGCCTCCCTAAACCCTAAGCCCTAAACCCTTTGCTGCAGGTCGATCCTGATTGCTTGCCAAAGCATGCCGTGAACGCGAAGCCGGACTGGTGGTGTTCCTCCCAAGGGTTTAGGGTTTAGGGTTTAGGGGCTGGGGGTTTGGGGGTTTTTGGTGCATACACCATACATATATATATATATACATTATCTTAAAAAATATATACATATATATATATATATATGTACATATATATATATATGGTTGCGGTTTTGTGTTTTATTTGGGGGGGGGTACTATAGGTTCTAAACCCTAAGCTTAAACCCAAACGCGCACCACTCTCCCACTAAGCAGAAGAACCCCAAATCCCCTCAAACCCCTCTAGAGCACAGACCCTGAGAAACACCCTAAAGCCTCCGGAACCTGAAGCCCTAAATCCTTCAAAGAACCCCTGCACCCAAAACCCTCCAAAACCTGAAGCCCTAAACCCTCTGGAGAACCCAAAACCTCTAAACCCTCCACAAGCCGAAGCCCTAAGCCCTCTGGAGCTCTGGAGCACCCTACAACCTTAACCCCTCAACCCTCAACCCTCAACCCTAAACCCAAACCCTCCAACCCATCCCCGCACACGCGCGCGCGCGTGCGCGCGTAAAAAAGAGCCACAGAGGACCTCGACTGGGCGGGCGACGACACGGTCCAAGCTCTCAAGTGGGACGTGCGCCGGCTTAAGAGGGCACTTCAGGGTTTAGGGTTTAGGGGTTTAGGGTTTAGGGTTTAGGGTTTAGGGTTTAGGGTTTAGGGTAGGACACCATTTCTAGACATTTTTTAAATACAGAATAACGATGATAACAACAGTCATCGTCGTAGGAAACGTGCAATACTATATGCATGTAGTTTAATGTATCATAAGAAGTATCATATATACGATGCATTTTAATACTGAGTAGTAGTAGTAGTAGTAGTAGTAGTAGTAGTAGTAGTAGTAGTAGTAGTAGTAGTAGTAGTAGTAGTAGTAGTAGTAGTAGTAGTAGTAGTAGTATAGTAGTAGTAGTAGTAGTAGTAGTAGTAGTAGTAGTAGTAGTAGTAGTAGTAGTAGTAGTAGTAGTAGTAGTAGTAGAAGTAGTAGTAGTTAGTAGTAGTAGTAGTAGTAGTAGTAGTAGTAGTAGTAGTAGTAGTAGTAGTAGTAGTAGTAGTAGTAGTAGTAGTAGTAGTAGTAGGTAGTAGTAGGTAGTAGTAGGTAGTAGTAGGTAGTAGTAGGTAGTAGTAGGTAGTAGTAGGTAGTAGTAGGTAGTAGTAGGTAGTAGTAGGTAGTAGTAGTAGTAGTAGTAGTAGTAGTAGTAGTAGTAGTAGTAGTAGTAGTAGTAGTAGTAGTAGTAGTAGTAGTAGTAGTAGTAGTAGTAGTAGTAGTAGTAGTAGTAGTAGTAGTAGTAGTAGTAGTAGTAGTAGTAGTATCTGAAGAAGCCCTACACCCTGAACCCTCTAAAACATGAAGCCCTGAACCCTCTGGAGAACCCCAAAACCCTTAAACCCTACAACAAGTCAACAAGTCCCAGCGCTCGCGTGCGCGCGAAAGAATTCACGGAGGACCTCGACTGGGAGGGCGACGACACGGTCGAAGCTCTGAAGTGGGACGTGCGCTGGCTTAAGAGGGCACTTCAGGGTTTAGGGGTTTCGGGGTTTAGGGTTTAGGGTTCAGGGTTTAGGGTTTAGGGGTTTAGGGTTTAGGGTTTAGGGTTCAGGGTCAAAGGAGGACTTCCGTATGACGAGTTATAGACACAGTATAGAAACAATAGAAACAAACACGAAGACGAATAACAATGAGAACAACAACCAATAAGCATGCAACATACCTTACATAGTATCTAAACCCTAAACCCTAAACCCTAAACCCTAAACCTTAAACCCTAGTCCTAAACCCTAAACCCTAAACCCTCAACCCACACCCGGGCCATGGGGGGGGGGGGGGGGTACCCTGGGGAGGGGGGGGGGGGGGGGGTGGGGCGCTGCACCATATATATATATACACATACATGGTATGATCAACACAAATTGCCTGCTTATATATTATAGCGTTACTATGATTAGTATTATTATTACTACTATTACTATTATTGCTATTATTATTTTTATTGTTATTATTATTGTTATTATTATTATTATTCATACATATATATGGGTATTCCCAATAAAAAAGGGGTACCCCTTCTATACCCCTAAATAGAACAGAATCCCCTTATTAGTATTGTTTAATGATATCACATATACATATATATATATATATATAGACTGTGAAGTCGACCAGCACTGGACTTGCACTAAGCCAATGCAATCACAGCCCGGTCACGCTGTTTTACGACTTCGCGAGTCCAAGCACTTGTGCAGCTACGCCTGAGTGCGTCCGGTCGGACCGCACAGCAACCTAGGAGCTACTGTACGACTCTACCGTGCTCAAAGGCACAAGCTCGGTACTTGAGCCAAAACATTGTCATTGTTACGAATTGCAAAACTACACATGCAAGGGAAAACAACAAGCTGCACTAGCACTAAGCAAGCACTCCATGCATGCTTTGACCTGCTCACATTCGCCCCTCAGCCGAGGCTTCCGGCTCACCAAGAGCTCATAGTGCGGCAAGCACTTCCGCAACGCGGCAAATGGGGTAGGGCGAGGGTGTCGCGTGCGACCCTGGTAGAGCCCGCACATCATGAGCATTGGCATGCGGCTTGGGCGGCAGCCCGCACTACCGGACGGACGCACGACGACAGCAACCATTCACGACCCTAAACCACCCCAAGTCGCGAGCTCTCACCTTTGTGCAGACAGGCGAGGCTCCAGAGTACTGGGCAGGTCTTTGTGCTGCTAGTGCAAGCTATGGTACAAATGGTACACTGTACACTACCGGTCCTAAGCTACGGCTACGGCTACTCACCTATCCGGAACTACCCTACGGGCTACCAGACTCAGCGAGAGCCGCGCACATGGCTTGTGCCGCAGGCAATGCAGCTCACACGCGCTTCGGCGAGCGCATTGCCGCGACCAGGACACGGTCCGCAGCACCTGCAAAAGAGCACCCTCAGCACGAGGGGCCACAGGCAGGGCGGAGGAGAAAGGTGCGGGGAATGCAAAATGGGCAGGTTTCCAACCTGCCGCGGCTTTTCGCCCGCAGTCAAGCAAAAGAAAATGCAAAAGGTTGGCGAAGCAACGTGCCGTGCTGCAACGCCTGCTCTGATAATGCGTGGATGCTTACCACGCCGCGCCGACTGGCCGCAGCCTACTCGATACCCTGTGGAGCAGTGTTGGGGGCACGAGTGGCGTTGCCAGCAACGTTGGAACTACTGGCTCGCTCCAACTGAGGGCGCCTTGCGACCGCCTCATCGAGGGAGAATGCCTCAGCCGACACCCTCTGGAAATCCTCAATGTAGGACTGCGCGACCGGGTGCGTCTTGGGGACCTCAAGCCTAAGCCCTGCCTCCGCATTGGCTTTGCTGCTTGTGGTAAAATTGAGGCTCCCAATCAGCACCACCGCGCCATCAGGCCGCAGTCGGCAAAGGGCCTTGGCATGGTGAAGCCCTTGGATACCGGTACCTACTTTAGCCCCGCGGCCGTCGCGAGCATAGGCGTCGCGCACGGATGAGCCGCAACCCACCTTCACCTCGGCGCCTGCAGCCGCCAAGCGTTTCAACGCTTGCCACTGCAGCTTGGTGCGGTGGCATTGTCCCATGTCGGCGACAATCCGAACGCCTGCGCCCTTGCTAAGCGACGCTTCGATTGCCTCGATGCAGGATGGGCAATCTAAGCTGTACGCCCGGATGTAGATCACATCCTCTGCTGCTCCAGACCCAAGCAGCGTTTGGGCGGCCTGAACGTACGGCCCGCCCGCAAGGAATTCCGCTTCTTTGACTGGAGAACTCCTAGCGGGGACTGGGCCCTTGTTCCTCCGGCTGGGTGTGCGCGCCACAGTGGCAGTGGCGGCACGTTGCACGAAGCCGGACTGTGCGTGGGCTGCGCTCGCTCCATCTGCTGGGGCCGCGGCCAGGTCACGACCCGCGAGCCCCTGAAAGCAGGAGAGCCCGCGGCTCTTGGCCGCAAGTTGGGAGAAACATCCTTCACTGTTCCCCAAACCCAACACAACCTTACCCTTAGCCAGGGCTTCGGAGGCGGTACTCCGAATGGAGTCTGTGAGCGCAGGACCCGCGCCTCGCTGGGCCGCGTGCAAAACCCTAGGGATCGAGCGGTGTCCATTGCGGCATCGCAATGCCCGCAACGTCCCTCTGCTAGGTAAGCACGACAGCCACAGGCAGCTGTCTCCTCCTTGAGGTGCACCCAAACTTTATGGGTCACCCCTTTCTTAGTGCTCGCGACCTCAAACGTCGCTTCAGAGCCAAGGAGTTGAGACAGCCGCGCCTCAGGGGCCGCGGTGTTGCCATGTCGCAGATGCGCAATGCGATTGGCAACGGCACGACTCACGTACCACAGAACAGCGCTGCACAAGATCACTACTACCAGCGTGATGGCTGTTCCGGCGACCCACACGGTCCGCCTGGCCCCATGACCGATTTCCTCGACAACGTCGGCCGAAATTGTTGCAACCGCGTGCATGGAGTCCTCGACAACATGCACAACCCCGCGGTGCAACTGCAAGGCAATCGGCGCCGACGCTGCAGCCGCCAGGCCCCACCAGCCGTTGATGTTCCCGTTGAGGGCGTGCATCAACCGATTGAGGAGCCCGCGACCCAGGAAAAAGGGGGTCCGCGGCGGAAGCGGAACACTTGGCGGCGGCCGGGCCGACCCGCACGGGAAGGCTGGGACCCAGCTTGTGCTTGGGCGGGGTTGGAGCGCGGCAACTATGCCCGCGGCGTAAGCGCCCCAGGCGTACCTGCCCCTCCCCTTGGGCTTGCCCTTGGCATCGGACTTGCCTCTGCCCTTCGGCTTGCCCTGGCCCTTGCCACGGGCGTCTGCCCAAGCACTCCAAGGGTCGCGGCCCTTGCCGTACGTCGCCTCTTCGCGACGTCGCTTGCCGCCCCTCTTCTTGTGTTTGTTTCTAAGAAGAGGTTGGATGGTTTCTTGGTCCATCGCACGATTGGCCAGAAGGATCTCGTACTCCAGCTCGTCCTGGCTGCTTTCGGAGCCCGAGTCCCTCTCTTCGCCACGCCGCGGATCAGGGATCCCGCGAGAGACGACCTCTGCCAAACGGAGAGGGGTGCTGCAGCGAAAGCACAGCTGCCTGAATGAAAGGTTCCATTCATAGCAGTTAGGGCACTGCCACCCTGCTATGCGGAGCGCCTCGCTGATGTGATCATCGCGCTCCGCCTTCTCCGCCTGGCGCCGCTCTCGCTTCTTGGCGCGCTCGGCCGCCTGCGCCTCCTCGGCCGCCTGGAGGGCTTCAGCGAGTTCCTCATCGCTGAGAAGCCTCGCGGCATCCGCCCGCGCCTGTTGTTCTTCAAGCTCTTCGGCAGAAAACCTCCGCCTCCATTGCTCTGGCGCGGTTTGAGGATCTACCTCCCACCACCCGATGTCGATCCCGTTGATCCATCGGCCGTCGCACGGGGCGCCCGCATTCGGGCCGCCCGCGTGCGTGGTGAGGCACTGGTCCTCGGTAACCGGGTTGATGGCTTCGCAGAAGAAGCACCGCCAGCTGCCGTAGGGGTAAAAGCGGCCTTCGACGTAGGCTCGGTTGGCTGGGAGGGCGACATCGTCCGCCTCATCCGCGGTGCCTGCCTCCATCTCAACCGAGACCTCCTCGTCCTTGACAACCTCAGCTTCCTCCTCCTGTTCCTCCTTGACCAGGGGCTCTTCTTGCTCCCGGCCAACGTTGAGGTGGGACTCAGTGCGAACCTCGGCGCGCATCAAAATGACGTCAAGGCTATCCGCGGCTGGGTCGCCCGCGAAGAAGGAATCGATCTCCTGGGCATGGAGATCGTCAAGAGGCGTCACCAGGTCTGGCGAGTAATCCCGCTTGGAACGACGCTCTGCAAGGCGTTGCTGAACGTCGCTCGTCGGCGGCTCGAGGGCCCGCCCGCGCGGAGCGGCCTCCCGCGGAGGTCCCGGCTCGGCCTCCTCCGTGGGCTCGCTCTTGGGCGTGGACCCTCCACCGCTACTCTCTGGAGCGGGATCCAGCTCGGGGTCATCGCGAAGCCACCCCGGTGGATGACTACCACCATAAATGTGGTGCGATCCGTCCTCAAGCTGGATTCGGTCCCCTCTCTTCAGGAGCGGGACCTTCGAGTGATCGTACCCGTTGGCTTTGTGGTACCGAATCACTCGGAGCATGGGCACCTCCCCATACTCACCGTCCTTTCCTCGGCGGAACAACCGTCCCCGCCAGTCTTGACGAAAAGGGTCAAGAGGTGCGGAGGGGCTGATCCCCAGGTTGGGCGGAAGAGAGGCGCCATGGCAGGCCGCCTGATGCAAGTGGTATTGCACCAGCGACTCAAAGGCCAGCCCGCATCCAGGAGCTGAGCATCCATAGTGGCCGTCAGCGTTGGGGCGAGGCTCCTCTGGGGCCGGGGCGGACTGGACGGTCCCGCCTCCTGAAGGCCTGGCGGAACTGCTCGATCCCGCACCCCCGGGGGCATCCTGACCATCGTCAGACACCTCTTCCCCGTCGGCGCCTTCCCCGGCCGCCCGATTCTCTCCCTCACGGCGCAGAGTTTTGAGGGATTCCTCACGCTTGGTGATCTTTTCTAGCTTCACCATCGCGGTTCCCGCCACCTCCAGCATCTTCGACTGGAGCTTCTGCGCTCTCAGAAGAGCTTCGGACCGCGCGAGGTACTCC